TGCGCATGTAATGTAAACGTATGTGTGTGTGAAATGGCTTTATTCAATATCCGCTTCCACCGAAATGAATTGGGCGACATTTAAAGTAGATGTATATTGTCACAGCGGAGATTTGTTGCCGAGTAACACAGATTAAGAATATAGTCCCAATCTTTTGGCACGTTTCTGACCACGTGACTTACTGTTAAGCGCCCCATGGAGTGATTTACGGCACTGTGCTCTATGAATGATTGATTTAGATTAACTGAAGCTGCAGGTAATGTGTAAAAGCTCATCGTATGATAAATATAATTTAAAGTTTGGATTTTATAGCAGCCAATAATTGATGGATTACATCTAAGTTATAGACGAAGATGTAATGATATGTTTTAAAAAAATTGTAAGTTGTTCATTGTTGCATACAATTTGGCCAGTTATATGAATGTACAGTGCGTTGGAAAAAAATCCTAACCGATACAGAATGCCGGTAAATGTTTTCCCGAGATTATCTAACTCATTTTGTTGTTATTCAAACCGGCCTGTACATTATACATGTACACGTTTTCGCGGCAGCATTACTGTATTACAACTCCTTCAATTAATTATAGACAATATTATTTCGACCCTAGCTTCTCGCGAATTCCTTGCGGGAAGCATGGCAAAACACGATGTAACGTATCTCAGGAAATTCAACGGCTCGTCTAATAAATGAACACCCTAGATAATTGAACGGGAAGTCCATTTTTAAACGCATCTCGGGAAATTCAACGGCTCGTCCAATAAATGAATGCCATAGATAAGTGCACGGGTAGTCCATTTTTAAACGCATCTCGGAGAAACTAAAGCCGTTGCCATTAATCTAAACCATAGTACTAATTAAACCATTTTTGTTATTCTTCAACGATTTTTATCAATTATCGAACAGGGTTTTGAAATTAAACGGTATGAATAGTAACCAACGCTAAAACCCCCGTATTAAACGATACCATATTTGTAGTGCTAGACAGTGATATATTGTACAGACAGTGATATATACTATTCAAAAAAAGTAGGGGATATTTGATTTTTAAGTGTTATTAAAGTCACCTAATGAAACTGACGAAGAAAGAAATGACAAAATGAAATGAAGTTCACATTCATCGATTTATTCCAAATGATTGTTAGACTAAGTAAGGCACAGACTGACCATTATAAGGGTAAAATGATACCCGGGGTCAAACAGCAAAGTTACCACAGCATCACAACCAAGTCAGTAACGGGTAAATCCTCCTCTGTTTGCCAAACAAGCATTGATCCGACATGGCATACTCCTAATGAGACGTCTAAGTTCATTTTGGTCCAGATTGTGCCATTCCTGTTGCAACGCAGCAGCAAGTTCTTGGACATTGGCAGGACGTTGTTGACGTTGACGTAACCTCTGTCCAAGCATGTCCCAGACATGCTCGATGGGGGAGAGGTCGGGACTCAGTGCTGGCCAAGGTAATGTGGTGATGTTCTGTTGTTGGAGGTAACCTGTAACGATCCTGGCCCTGTGACATCTTGCGTTGTCATCCTGGAAGATGAAACGGCGGCCATGACGTCGTGCGAACGGCACAACATGGACTGCCAAGATGTTGTCCCGGTAGTACTGGCCTGTAACACGCCCTGCAACAACATGTAAAGCCGTTCTTCCAGCAACAGTGATGCCTCCCCACACCATAACAGAACCACCCCCAAATCGATCATGTCTGATGACGTTAACGTCTTGGAAGCGCTCGTTTCGACGACGCCACACCCTCCTACGTCTGTCCAAAAAATCAACAGTGAACCTTGACTCATCTGAAAACATCACATTGCTCCAGCGTCGATTATCCCAGTGTTGACGATCCCTACACCAACGACATCTTGCCTGAATGTGATGATCTCTCAAACAAGGGATCACGCGTGGACGTCGGGCGCGAAGGTGACCCCTATGCAGTCGATTCCGAATCGTCTGGCCACTCACTCTCACACCAGTGTCTGTTTGAAGACGAGCGCTGATCTGATTTGCTGTGATGACACGATTTCTCAAGGCCAAGGTACGGATAAATCGATCCTGGGCTTGAGTTGTCGCCCTTGGTCGACCTGAGCGTGGTCTGTCCTGTACAGATTGTGTATCACGGTATCTGGACCATAGCCTGCTTATGACAGACTGAGAAACATTCATCGTCCGCGCCACAACCGCCTGTGTTGTGCCGATCTGTAGCATGCCAAGGGCACGTAACCTTTCATTTTGGGTAAGCCGACGCATATCAAAATTTGTTTTCTGGTCACTAAAACAATTAAACTGATGTTTCCACCCTGGAATTCAATGCCACAATGACTGTAACATTCAAAGTCAGAGTCGTGCAAATCTTGGGTTGGACCCCCATGATGATCCCAAGCATCACCTGCATTCCATGCGGTAGCTATTGGTGCGTTTGGGCGTCACATGTAACTGGAAATGTTTCTTCTGTTAGGTTCTATAGTGACTTTTTTCGTAGTCATTTGCATATTTTAGTATTATGCCCCCAAAATCAAATATCCCCTACTTTTTTTGAATAGTATATTGTATAATGTATACACTATGTGTAGTCACTGTGATGTCACCAGCCAATCAACCGGATTAAGGTCGTAATTGAAAAATTGAAAAGCGTTTTGCCGTGTCGGATACTTGAATGTTTATAGCTGAATTAATTTTAATCAAATAGGTGTGAACTTGCCGTAAAGTGGATATAGTAACCATTGGCTACATGTACATGCAATTTAGATTTTTCATCTTATGTGGTCTTTAAACTCAGTGTATAAATGGTGATAAACTGAAACTATTGACATTCCATAAAATATCGCGATATTTTCTGAAAATATTGTGATATTGTTTCCCGATATATCGCCCAACTCTATCACAGAGTTTCTGGAATTTCAGCTCTCAAATATATAACCAGCGGCTGCCAGGCAGGATACGCCCACATTTTCGAGAGATGGATAGAGAACAAGCTAAGAAGAAAGTGATTTTTCCTACAATCAAGGGCCATAATTCAGGAAATTACAATTCGATATGCGCAAATATCGAAAGGAACCGAGATCTTTGTGTTATAAACTTACATTTCAAGTTTCAACAAAATCGGATAAAAATTGTGACTTCTATAGGGTCCACAACCTTGATATACCCTATTTTTACGCTATTTGAGAACGAAGGGCGGCCATTTTATCTGTCAGTTTTGCGCCGTTTTTCATGAAATTCGAACTCAGTCGTCCTTAGGGAGTAACGGTGATATAATAATACGTTTTTTTAAATCGAATAAAAATTATGACCTCTATCGGGTCCAGAAGCTAAAAACATAATTTTTCGTACAATCAGGGGCCATAATTCAGGAAGTTACGGTCCGATATGCGCAAATATCGAAAGGAACCAGGACTTTGGGTTATAAATTACATTTCAAGTTTCAACAAAATCGGATTAAAATTGTGACCTCCAAAGGGGTCCACAACCTTGATATAACATATTTTTATGCTATTTGAGAACGAAGGTCGGCCATTTTGTCTGTCAGTTTTGGGCTGATTTTCACGAAATTCGAACTCAGCCGTCCTTAGGGTGTAACGGTGATATAATAATATGTTTTTTTTTAAATCGGATAAAATTATGACCTGTATAGGGTCCACAAGCTAAAAATGCGATTTTTCGTACAATCAGTGGCCATAATTCAGGAAGTTACGGTCCAATATGCGCGAATATCGAAAGCAACCGAGATCTTTGGGATATAAACTTAAATTTCAAGTTTCAACAAAATCGGATAAAAATTGTTACCTCTATAGGGTCCACAACTTTGATATACCATATTTTTACGCTATTTGAGAACGAATGACGGCCATTTTGTCTGTCAATTTTGGGCCGATTTTCACGAAATTCGTACTCAACTGTACATAGGGTGTAACGGTGATATAATAATACGTTTTTTTAAATCGGATAAAAATTATGACCTCTATAGGGTCCACAAGTTAAAACGTGATTTTTTCGTACAATCAGTGGCTATAATTCAGGAAGTTACGGTCCGATATGCGCGAATATCGTAAGGAACCGAGATCTTTGGGTTATAAACTTATATTTCAAGTTTCAACAAAATCGGATAAAAATTGTGACCTCTATAGGGTCCACAAGCTAAAAATGTGATTTTTAGTACAAACAGGGGCCATAATCCATGAAGTTTCGATCCGATACATGGAAATACCGAAAGCAGCCGAGATCTTTTGGAGATAAACCTATATTTCAAGTTTCGTCAAAATTGGATAAGAATTGTGACCTGTAGAGTGTCCACAAACAATTGTGGACGGACGGACGGATGTCCGGACGGACAGGGGCGACGACAATATACGTCCACATAAAAATGTGGGCGTATAAAAACTTCAAGCAAAAGAAATTCTGCAAGGTTCAACTCTTTCACTACTGGCCTATAAATGTCATCCACCTCAATCCCATAATAAATAGATGATACTCATTTATCTTATTCTGAAGTATAATAGCAAACAATCTGCAAAATTCTATCACAGAGTTTCTGGAGCTTCAGCTGTCAAAGATATAGAAACTGCAAACAAAAGACTATCTGCAAGGTTCAACTCTTTCACTGCTGCACTGTAAGTTTACATGTCATCCACCTCAATCCCATTATAAATAGATGATACTAGTTGATCTTATTCTAAACATAATTATCACATTTATTCACATGACAATGGAACTTTACAGCAAGTTTCATCACTCTCACTCTTAAAATTAGAATCAGAGTTACAATGTACATGTACCGTGTTCTAAAACACAATAAAACAAATTGCTTATCTCTGCATACCCACAGTGAAAAATGTTCACCATTGAACATATTCATGGTATTGATGTAATGAAAATATTCACCAAGTTTCATCGATCGCAATCAAAGTTATCATGGTCCAAAGTAACGACAAATAAAATCCCTGCTTCTCTGAAATATGGGGGACAATATAATGCACATGACATAAAAGAAAAAATTACTCACAAGTCCTTGGTACTTAAAAGAGTCATAAACACTGCGTAGTAGAAGCCAGAAAGGCCACAAATACTCAAATCGGAATTCAAGAATAAAATCTGCCATCAGAACAAGAGCCCAGACCAAAAGAAATCTCATGTACAAGAATGTGCTGAAATAATAAACAGAATGAATAAAATTATTGTGTAGTTATTATTAACATACATTAAAATATATACAGGTTACAATTCTATGGAATACAATTACTGCTTATTACTGAGCAACGTTTCGACTATTCTTCTCTAGTCATTATCAAGCAATGATAAAATAGGTAGACGTAATTAAGGGGTATGTCTGGTTGATCAGCATTGATTAAGTATTGTTGTGTACATGTATATATTGTCTTGTTATATTTTCATATTTTATCATTGCTTGATAATGACTAGAGAAGCCTAGTCGAAACGTCGCTCAGTAATAAGCAGTAATTGTATTCCATAGAATTGTAACCTTTATACTCCAGTTCAATTACTAAATGCCTTTGAAACAATACATTAAAATATACCCTAATTTTCATTGTGGCAATGGGTATTGCCTGCATAAACTCTGTCTAGTTTTTGATTCATACAAGACTGAAGAGGAGTAACCTGGATGTGTCCTAGTACTCCTAGAGCTCAGTTACCACGAACCCTAGATTAAAGAATAAGTCCAGCCACCTGTTTATATTTATTCATTACAAATATCTAATACTGGCTGTGTTACCAGGTGTTGCACTGGTAGTTTAACATTCACAATAATGCAATAATTTAACCAATTTTCAATTTCATCCGTAAATACTACACCAAATACAAACTTTCACCGGTGCCACGTTACCCTTGAACTTATGTCACTTCTGGTACCAATGAAACCATTAAACGTTATTCCACATAAGCACTGCACACATGTTATAAAATGGACACAGAATCAACCAAATCCAGCAATATCAATTCCATTTATAGATTTGTTACCATGTGTTACATATGCCAAAAAATTGATCCTGAAAAAATTTGTTACTAACTTACCGTTAACTTAAATGCAAAAATAAATCTAAAAAATGAACTGTTTCAATGGCATTTAGTAATTGAACTAGAGTATACAGGTCACAATTCTATGGAATACAATTACTGCTTTTTACTGAGCAACGTTTCGACTAGGCTTCTCTAGTCATTATCAAGCTATATAAAAAATGAAAATATGACAGGACAATATATACATGTACACAACAATGCTTAGTTAATGCTGACAAACCAGGGATCTAACTTAATTACGTGTACCTAATGGTAATCTGATTTAATTAAACGCTAATAAGTAATAATATCAATTAACCTAAAAATTGACTAATTGATTAATGGATAAGTTGTTGTGGAGTATACACAATGATAAGTGGGTTTTAATAATACAAACGTTGAAAGAAAATGAAAATTGATGAAATGTTATCAACGACCCCTTTCACTGAAATAAATACAAATGATAAAAGAATAGATTGTTGTGGAGTATTTACAACGATTTGATGAGGTTTTGATAATGACAACATCCCAAGAAGATGAGATTTGATTGGTGTTATGACAAAAATAATTGATATGTGGATGTTGATGTGAGTGATTCTACTGATATACGAAAAACCCTTAGAACAATGACTGCACAAATGATCAATAGTCCCCTGAAGGCTGACAATTTAAAATATTGAGTGGTACTTCATTGGATGTTATAGTGATGTAGAAAAGCAGGGTTAGAACTATTGAGTGCATTAAATTACAATAACCGCAGGCCTGAAAAGCAAAAATGCCTGAAAAGCAAAAATAATTGGGAATTATTAGTTATCATTTTTGCAAATTATGATGGTTATTACAAACTTAAAATTATTACTGGAATATTGATAAGTATTAAATATGATAAAAAGAAAAAAGAAGAATTATGCTTAGCCTTGATTATGTGATAAGAATATCATATGCCCTAGGGAGGAACAATCCTTGATCTCTGTTCATCGTTGGTTTGTGTCGTCGTATTTGAATGGCTTCATGCAATCGGCGCGCTCTCTTGTTGCTTATATTCTTGCATAGTGGTTTTACGTTGGACCATTGGACTCTGTGGCGAGGGCTTGAGTTCAAATGTTCAGCTACAGCTGAGTTGTTGGTTGCTGCCTTCGACTTGTGGTCATCTATCCTTTTATTTAATGGTCGCTTTGTCTAATTAATCAATTAGTCAATTTTTAGGTTAATTGGTATTATTACTTATTAGCATTTAATTAAATCAGATTACCATTAGGTACACGTAATTAAGTTAGATCCCTGGTTTGTCAGCATTAACTAAGCATTGTTGTGTACATGTATATATTGTCCTGTCATATTTTAGCTTGATAATGACTAGAGAAGCCTAGTCGAAACGTCGCTCAGTAAAAAGCAGTAATTGTATTCCATAGAATTGTGACCTGTATACTAAACCAGCGGCTGCCAGGCAGGATATGCCCACATTTTCGAGAGATGGATAGAGAACAAGCTAAAAAGAAAGTGATTTTTCCTACAATCAAGGGCCATAATTCAGGAAATTACAATTCGATATGCGCAAATATCGAAAGGAACCGAGATCTTTGTGTTATAAACTTATATTTCAAGTTTCAACAAAATTGGATAAAAATTGTGACCTCTACAGGGTCCACAACCTTTATATACCGTATTTTTACGCTATTTGAGAACGAACGGCGGCCATTTTGTCTGTCAATTTTGGGCTGATTTTCACGAAATTCTAACTCAGTCGTCCTTAGGGTATAACGGATATATAATAATACGTTTTTTTAAATCAGATAAAAATTATGACCTCTATAGGGTCCACAAGCTAAAAACGTGATTTTTCGTACAATCAGGGACCATAATTCAGGAAGTTACGGTCCGATATGCGCGAATATCGAAAGGAACCGAGATTTTTGGGTTATAAACTTATATTTCAAGTTTCAACAATATCGGATAAAAATTGTGACCTCTTTTGGGTCCACAAGCTAAAAACGTGATTTTTCATACAAACAGGGGCCATAATCCATGAAGTTTTGATCCGATACATGCCAATATCGAAAGCAGCCGAGATCTTTTGGAGATAAACCTATATTTCAAGTTTCGTCAAAATCGGATAAGAATTGTGACCTGTAGAGGGTCCACAACAATTATGGACGGACGAACGGACGTCCGGACGGACAGGGGCGACGACATAATATGTCCACATGAAAATGTGGGCGTATAAAAATGAAATATCATAGTTTATTAGGAATATTGAATAACACTCATTTGAAAAAGATATTTGTTATGAAGGCGAAAAATACAGTTTTTGTCAAAATGTTGCTATTTCCAGTAAAAATAAATTTTTGAAATTGTTTTTATGAAATCACAAATGGCATTAGGCGTCAAATGGTGAAACTTTTATAAAAATCAAATAATAATTAACAATTTTATGGACCAAAATCTGTTAAAAGTGACTTGCAGAAAATCGTCTGATTCTTCACAACTGAACAGGTGATATCTATATGATCGTATGGGTTCATTCTATTTGTAGAATGGAATTAAACACATAACAAATAGGACTCATTTGAATAAAATATCTTGTTTTTAAGGCTAAAAATACAGTTTTGGAAAAAATGGCGTCACTTCTGGTGTCAATTTTAAATTCTGCTCAAATTGATATAATGTACATTTGCTTTATGCATCAAATGGTGTCACTTGATTCTTTTACAGGCAAAAAATATGAAAGATAGGTTGCCAGGCAACGAAACATACGGCCCACAGCAGCTAAATCGTCCGGGCAGTCAACAAGAGTTGTCGCATATTTTTACTTTTTTCAGTAATGAAACATTTATAATACATTAAAATCTGATTAAGAGTAACAACTCATTAAATAATTATCAGAATACCATTAGAATTTGTTTGGTTTTTATAAAGTTCTGCCCCATGCTAACGTTTAGTATACGAAACTTTTAACATCATGGATTTAGCTGTTCAAGTCATAAAAATTCATTGAAAATCTCAGGACCTTAAACACTGTGTATAAATACAAAGTCAATCAGATATTAACTTTAGCCTCTAGAGCGTCCACAAGCGATTGTGGATGCCGGACGGACGGGGGCGACGACAATATAAGCTTCTTCGTCTCATGACCTTAAACACTGTGTATAAATTTAAAGTCAATCGGATATTAACTTTAGCCTATAGATTTTTTGAAGTAATCAAGGGCCATAACTCTGGCAGTAATTATTAAAGATAGGTTGCCAGGCAACAAAACATACGCCCACAGCAGCTAAATCGTTCGAGTGGTCGACAAGGGTTGTCGCATTTTTATTCCTTTGTAGGTAATTGGGGGCCTTTACAAGACAGTTCCACACAGATCAGATTATAAATTTTGTCGTTTGAGGGTTTACAAGGTTCTAAAAACTGAAACAAGGGTCTCAACTCTGGAAGTAATCTACAGAAATGGTTGAAATTTGACAGGCTTTTTCGTTTTACTAATTTAAATAATGCATATAAATTTCATACATATCGGATGATAACTTTCATCAATCGAGCATTAACAAGGTTTAACAAAATGAAACAAGGGCAATAACTTTAGAAGTAATTATTGTAAATTGCTGAAATTTATCTCCATAGGATTATATTCACAAATGATAAATTATTCAAAATTAGAAAAGTTGATAACACACTCTGCACTTTCTGTGAATCTAATATAGAAAATGTAGAACATCTCTTTGTCCTTTGCCCATTTTCACAAATAATATGGAATCATCTTCATACTATCCTAGATCGTGGTAATATAAAGATAAATATAAAAACACATATAATACACCTTGGTCTAACTAACAAATCAAATTATATAAGTAATACTGAATGGATTTTCATTAATCATGTAATTATTTTAACTAAATTCTATATATATCGGGCTAAACTACGAAACGAAATGCTCAATATTAATAAGTATGAAAGCTTTTTAGTAGAGCATGCTAAAATGGAGATTGAGATATCTCCAGAATTATACACAAATAAATGGAAATATCTTTTTAAGAATTAACAGATTGCCTCCATAACGATTCCCCATTGATGGATTTATGTACTTAGATCTGTGTATAGTAGGAACCCTGCGACTCACCATTTATATAGAATA